TGGTTACTGTGTAACCAAAAAGCAATACTGTCACAACTTATGACCAAAATCATCACTTGAATTTATATAAATGTACAAAGATGAAAAACCCACGGTCAGGTCTCCGGAGATGTTGGCTCCAGCCAGAATTCCAGTAGCTGCGGGGAAGAAAATGGCAAATACGGAGAAAAACGTCTCCCCATCTCTGAATTCTGGACCAAAGTTCTCTAAAAGGATGGCCGCTGTAAGAGAAAAGAACCAAGAGAGAAGAATAAGTAAGATAGATTATCAACACGAATCCTAACACTGAATTTAGAGGATGCTAATCCCCGTGTGAAGAAATGACAAGAATGCAGACTGACTGCGGTATCCGAAAAATCCTTTAGGCTCTTTGCTTTCTGATGGCATGAAGGATCCAAAGAAGAAGTTAACAATGGCTGCCAGCAGAATCACCAGGAGGACAATCTGAGCCTGATGGACAGTAGAAGAAAACACATGAGTAAGAAAGAAGAGAGATTTGCTCCAGTTTCTCAGTTAAAATCACCCTGTTACAAACATGTATGTTGGTTGATGTGTTTGAATTTGGGGTGCTGGCCTACAGATGAGATAGCTTACTAATATTAGGATTTTATAAATTTAGGTGACGCCAGCAATTAACTAACTGTGCCTTGAAGTGAATAAATTGCATCCAGTCGTCAGGCCTGTCAGATGTTTGATTAATCCAGGATCTCTGGACATGAACCGTCTATATAACAGTCTATATATGAGATGAGTGTATCTTTCAGGTATGAAATATTATAAAAATCTCAAACTATCTCAAACTTCTTTTTAATGGCCAGTAGGCATCACCTTTGGCTCTGAGGAGGAAACCAGTTATAAAGACTTCTGTGGGATGGTTTCCCTCAGCTTCCTTGACTTCCCTCAACACTTTCCTGGTGAGTTTATTTCAAGTCATATTAAATATAACATGCAGATATTTACTTTTTGAATTGTTATCTCCATTAGTGTCATGAGGGATGATTGAGCAGAGTATGCTTTGTCTGTGCAGAGACTCAAATCACCAATGTATACAGAGGTAGGTAGAGGCAGAGGTGGAGGGATCGATCCAGATATCAATTGTATCAGTACTTTATATCCTCTAAATGAAGTACATGCTTAATTCTGGTGCTAGAAAGACATCATGAGATTGCAATGTCTTGGTTACATGTTTATGAGTGCAAGATTTCATTTGAATTGTTTCAGTATTTGTAGATATAGGTCAGTCTGGACCGGTGGGTGTTTTTTTTTAATACTGTAGCCATGCCACTAACGCACCAAAAATTGTTCTTTTTTGATTTATATTTAGTTTGATTGCAGATTTGCATTCAGAAATGAACACATACACTGGCAGACCTTTTCTTAAAAGCTCCAAATCCCAAAGTTAACTCAGCAGCTTTGACGAGAAATACATAATCAACATTTTTAAGGACACAAATGATTTATGCCCTTTTATTGAAATCTCACTGAAGCCTTTGGTTTTGACGTTTTTTTCTGGGACATTGTTGTAATTATACCTTGGCTTCCCACTCCATCCCGGCTACAGAGATTCCCAACAACAAGATGATGGTCAAAGTCCCAACGATACGAATGTCATTGAGCTCATCAGTCATCAAGGCATCAACGTCCTGCAACCAATTAACAGGTTAATTCGATATGAGAGTCTTTCGCATATCACAGAGAGATTTTTGTAAGTACACCAGAGCATTTCTTACATTGAGCAACTCAACGACTGTCTCTGCAAAGCCTACGACATACATGGCCACAGCTACGGCATTGGCGAAGGCAAAGATAAGACCGATGGAGCCTCCAAATTCAGGCCCCAGACTTCTGGAGATCAGATAGTATGCTCCTCCTGGACGGCATGAAATTCAGATGTTAAGTGATATAAATTATTGCTGCTGTCACACATTTTGAGCAGTTTCTAGTCCATTTGTAGGTTTAGTTTTGAAATTCTAGACGTTAAAGACCTTTTGTAAAAGTAAAATGTCTTATATGGGTCTCACCTCCTCGTACAAAGCCGTTGGTCGCTATAGCAGATGTAGACAGACCGGTGATGGTGGTGACCACAGTGGCCATCAAGATGATACCAATGGTCAGTCCTGTTTTACAAAAACATGAAAAATATGTGAAGTTACAGGCAAATCTCCAAAAGTTGATTCTGTTCATCTGGACGTAGAAAAACGCTACGTCCAGATGAACAGAATCAACTTTTGGAGATTTATTTTCCTGGATGATTGAGAATGTATCAAGACGTTACAGGCAAATGAGCAAAAATCAGCAGTCTTCAATCAGTTGAAAACAAAATATAAAACATGCATATGGGCCAAATGGGCTTCCTCGCAGGTTATATATTTATTTATTTTTAGATTCAGTTCATCATCACAGGTAAGATTAAATAAAATTCTAAGAAAAAACTCTATTATAGTACGCTAACTAGCTAGAGCTAGTGCCTGCTATATTTGTACACGAGCTTATGTGGTCAATAAGCAGTCTGCAAAACATAGAGGAGCTATTTTTAATGACTTATCAGTAGAAATGAGCAGTAATGCATAATGTAATTGATCTGAAACCTTGTCAGTGTGTAGCCAGCACACCATTTCCTAGCTGGTTCTGCTGTACCTTTATGCACAACTTAAAGATAGTATGCAGTCCATTTAGGTGTTTTACTGTGTGGTTTGAGGACTGTTTAATACTTTTATCTCTACTTAAATTTAAAAGAGACCTTTTGTGCTTATTTCAGACTCTGTGATTTTATGCTTAGACATTACTAGAGTAGCTTGAACAAAATCAGACCTTAAAAGCAGCCTCCCTCCTTACGCATGCATGAATAGCATGAATCAGTTCAAAACAATCCTCATTTATCTTGGTTCAGCCTCTCAGTTCATCTTCTTTCTGCAAACAAGCTGTTTAATATTCTGATGGCTCGCAAAGCAACGTTTGTTTGCATGTAAGCCTGTCACATGAGCACTGGGTGATGAAGGGTGTGACACATTTTCCTGAGTCACTAATTGTTTGTACCCACCAATTCCAGCCTGTCCCACAATCCAGGACATTCTGATGAAGAGCATCACACCCCAGATATTCAGCATGCAGCGGATCTGCAACACACAAACAGAAGTCAGTTAAAACGTAAAGACAGACAACAGGTGTAGGTTGCTGGGGCGGATTCCCATGATGCATTGAGTATTTCTTCTTCAGTCACCTTTCTCATTCACTCTGTGCTAATCGACCTCTCTGCACTCAATCACACTCATTATTAATCTCTGGCTCTCTTCCACAGCATGTCTTTATCCCGTCTTCCTTCTCTCACCCCAACCGGTCGCAGCAGATGGCCCCGCCCCTCCCTGAGCTTGGTCCCGCTGGAGGTTTCTTCCTGTTAAAAGGGAGTTTCTCCTTCCCACTATCACCAAAGTGCTTGCTTATAGGGGGTCATATGATTGTTGGGTTTTTCTTTGTATGTATTATTGTAGGGTCTACCTTACAATATAAAGCGCCTTGAAGCGACTGTTGTTGTCGCCTCAAGGTGATTCAATTCAATAAAACTGAATTGAATTAAACCTTACAGCTGCCAAAAAGAAAGCCAAAATACCTGAGAAAAGGACGATGCTATATTTATGTCGTACATCATTTGCTTTTGGGTAGAGAATACTGTCTTCCTTCCTGCACCAACCTTAATAACAAGCTTTTCATGCGCAATATGACAGACAAGCTTCTATACGTCTATACAGCGCATTGATGCAGTAATATTCAGATGAGAGGCAGCACATTTCCACCCCTGATCACCACTGTGTAGACTCTATGCAGAACCAGTTTCTGCAATATTTTAGCTTAGCTTACTTGAAGTTTGTTTACATTTCCTAAATCTAGAATTATTCTCAAATGATCCAACCTGACAAGAATATAACCAGAGAAAATACATTTTATACCTTAAGATGATGAGATTATGTATTTGATTGTCTAATTATGGGACACTAAAGGGTTTCATTCTTGCCTGCTCTGTGGGAAGAAAGTTGACTGTTTACAGTTTTGTTTAAGTAGTTCAACACATTTAAATACCACAAGAAGAAGCAGAGTGCACCTTGTGCTTTCATTCATGACATGAACACTAACCAGGACTCCTTTAACCCAACCAAATTTGACAGTTCCTCCTTTGGCCTCCTTCGCTGCCAGTGCTGCCGCTTCCTCAGCTGCCGATGGTTCTTCTCCATTGGCCAGACCATCCTCAAAGGGCTCCTGATGGGAATAAAAATCCAGACAAGTCAGGAAAACAGAAACTTGAACAGAGCTGAAGCCTAACAATCAACAGGATAATTACAATCACTTAAAAGTTGAGAACTTGCGACTCTTGAGTTCTGATTAGACAGTCAGTGGTCTTAGTTTTGTGAGAGAGAAGTTTTTTAGTCAAATGATAAATATATATATGTTTTAAATGTTTTATGTAATGCTAATCCTAACAGAAAATCTGAAACTCTGGGTAGAAGTTAAATAAGTTGATTGACTGGTCAATAGTATACATGAAAAAATAAAAGCAATAAAAGCAATGAATAAATGTGGTCTTATCTTATTTATTTCAATATATATTTGATTTAAAACATTTTACTATTTAATTATCTACTTATTAAGTGGATTCAAATTGAAATATGACATCTGAAAATGTAAAACTGTTTAGTTAGCTAAACTTACCTGGGTTGGAAACTTACATCTTTGGTTTAAAGGTGGTGTTTCACCACAATGAGGATAAAGATAGTGTGTTAATTCGTTTTCTGTGGCTTTGTTATATAATAAGTGAAATCATTTCATGTGCAGTATAACTCATTTTCCATGACCTCCACAGCAGCAAAGCAGTTAGTTATCCACAGCCTCGCTCAAGCAAACAAACTGATGTCCGTGTATGCTGGTGATTCTGTGAGATGGCTAAATATCTGTGTATGTGCACATACGAGGAACAATTCCACTAAACACACGAAAGTGCCTCCAGTTTGGCACCTTCATCAGGTTTGATTTTGAGTCCAGTCATAAGATAAGATAAGATAAGATAAGATAAGATAAAACTTTATTAATCCCTCGGGTGGGTTCCTCTGGGAAATTTGTTTTCCAAAAAGCACAGCACCGACAGAAGTTACAGAGTTAAGAATATTATATATATATATATATATACACACATATATAAATACAAAGACATATATAGATAAAATATACAAAGGGGATAAATAGAATAAATAGGAATAAAAATAAAAATAAAAATAAAAATACAAGAGACAGTTTACAGGCTTAACCACAGAAATTAGAACCAGTGAAATTTATGATTTTTGACGCATGAAATCAAGAAAAACACATTTCATTTCTATGACAAATCAAAAGAAAAATGTGAGTGAATCAGAGGCAAAGATGACTTGATGATAAATAACACAGATCACTTCATATGGCCTTCACTGTCACTGGATCCCAATCCACTGCCAGACTGGGAGAATTTGGAGAGATGTGTCAGACTGTCCAATTCCATCACCAAAACAATAACTTTGGATGTACTTTAGTGAACTTGTTCAACAAGAAGCACAACTGGAAGTAGGGCGACACCTTTACGAGATGCCTGATTTTCGTGTTTTTTCACTGTTTAAATGAAGGCACGCCTAAAGGTCATGGTGGTGCTTTGCCCAGTTGGTGTTCTGGCTCACTGTTATTGTACAATGGTGGTCTGTTACCTTGAACTGTATGTAAGGAGTGGGAGCGCGGCTGGGGGTGCCTGCAGGGTCATGAGAAGCGGTATTGTGTTGAGGGAAGAGCGAAGGGAATCTTTTCTGTTTACTGAAAAATGAACTGACTTGTGTCAGGTGAACAGGGAAGTGCGTAGTGACGTGTTAGTTCTGTTTTTAAATCTGGGAAATAACTTTTCAACTCTCGGCGTCTAAACTGCCTTTTAAAGTTGACGATTTTACCATAACGTGACTCTTTCTTTACTCTCGCCTTCGTTGTGTTTGATGTGAAACTTGAGATCAACTATTTTAATAACAAATTTAATAGCATCATTTAATAACGAAGCCAATAAAAAAATGTTTTTGTTACCTTATCGAGTTCGTCGTGTAGCTCCGACAGCGACGGTCTGGTCAACTTCTCCCCAAATGGCGCGGCTGTCTGCCGATAGAAGTCAATGTTAGGCACGGCGTCTATAGTGTTGTGTCCGAAGGTCCTCATGTAGTAGGTGTTGGAGTGGGAGTCAGAGATGTGAGTGTGCCCCGTGCCAGTTGAATGGAGGCTGACTGAGTCGCTTTTTGCTGTGTCCGGCTCATGGGAGACATCAGGTGGGAGTCCAATGTCCATCGCGCCCGAATCCATGAAGCCCACCACCCTGAACCGGCCTTTGGACTCCTCGGGAGGTCTGGATCCATCAGTGGATGCCGGAGCAGAGGGGGCAGCCGGACCGGGCGCTGCAGATGATGCCTCCGTCACCACATCCACTTGAAAGCGGCTCTGCGCGGAGTCTTCGCTCTTCAACGACGGTTTCTGACCCGACATTTCTGTCAGTGATGCACCGAGAGACAAACGGTTAGCGGGAAAAAGCACCTGCTCCAAAACTACAGGGAAGCTGCCACATTTAATTCCAAACACGGATAAACTGAAATACAGTCATTTACTATTCCGCTGTACTTTGGAAACCTCTAATCACTGGATGCGCCAGGACGCACGACAAGCGTCTCTGAAAGTGCTCATAACATGCGTAAAGGACACGAAGTCGTTCTCACTCCCTCTGTCTCTCCCTCAGATGGTGACTCAGACGATTTATTGTCATCTCTGGCTTTGTCTCCTCCTCTCTCTGGACTCTGGAGACAGCCCAGCATGCCAGGAACACGGAGAACAATGAGGAGGAGGCAAGAGTAGAAAGGATGGATCGGTGTCCATTACGCACCAAACTCCGGCACGCGCTCCAGCGCGTTTCAGTCAAGAGGAAGAGACTAACACGACGCTTAGACAAAGGGTAGAGCAACAGAGTTCCTCCTCATAAAGTTTGTAAAGCATATGAGCATGTTTAGTTTTCACTGGCAGTCTTGCGCAGGGAAGCAAAACCACTGTTTTGGAGCCAGTTCATCCAGTAGGTGCAAAGTAAACTGTAAAATCATTATAAACACAAACACAATGACTTTAATTTACTATTCTGTTGCATCAAGGCTAAATAATATATGTAAAAGACACCAACTCCCTCTTTACCACCCCCTCTCGCTCCGCTGCATGCGAGTGTGTGTTGGCATTAAACAATGACATTTGTAATCACTGCTGGTGACACACTGAGACATTCACACAGAGGCCTAGATACGCACGAAGCGAGGCAGCAGCAGCAGCATTAGCATGGGGAACAACAGCTGCTTTCTCTGTCGAGGCTCTTGATGCTGAAACCGAACACCGAACAATAAAAACAAAGAGTGACGGAAACCAGTTAAATCAACCTGACCATCTAATCTTTATTTAGGACGTGGATTGTGAGTTAGTGGCAACACTTCATCATAACTCAGATACGTTTTTTAAACTTTGCAAAACTAATGAGTGATCTTTGACTGCTATTGCCTTGGTAACCCTGGTAATCCTGATTTTAAGGACTGTATTGGTTTAACAGCTTAACGTTT